TATGCGGATACGTCCCGCTGCAATTCGATATCACCGCGGTGTCGCGCATCTCGATCGGATTCCGCTTCCCGGATTCGCTGAACTTCGACTTAGATCCGGCTAACCAAATGAACGTCACGGCGCTTGACCTTTGACCGTTCGATCCTGGAATTACCGAGTCTGCAAAGGATCGGTGCTCGTAATTCCTTGTAGAAACAACGGGCGACAATTATCGAGGTCTGACGGCTGCGGCGTTATTTTTCCTTTTATTTATTTATTCGTCAACGAGCGTAAATCCTTTGGTACACGAAGTTATGTTATATGTTCTGAGCGATATATAGTAAAATTATCCTTATTTTTCTTCATTTTGTAAAACAAAATGGAGAATTTGGGGAGAGGTGATACGATTATTCGAACATTGCACTTCGTTTTTATAATTCTTGACGATCGGCAATTGTAAAAACGAGTCGCGAGGCTCGAATAATCGTATCTCCTCTTCTTAAATTGTCTATTTTTGTTTAAAAGACGAAGGAAAATTCGGAAGAATTTACTGTAATGTTTAATAGCCGAGACCTCGAATTTATGGAGAGAACTAAAAAGAATCATTGCAATATTTATTTGCATTTATAAAAATAAGGCAGTTGTATTGATCGAATAATTTGCTATATAGCTAGTTAAATTGATCAATCGTTCGAATTTTCATTGCTGTAAATAAATGGTGCAAGTCACTGAACTCTTTCCGCACACTTTCTAAATCTAAATGTAACGCTTCACAATTATTACGATCCTGTGACGATTCTGTACAAGTTTCGTATAAATTTTTGTAGAATATACAGGGTGTACGGAAAATAAAATGCTATTCGGAAAAGAAGAATAGCATTTTTTCACTTAAGGCTCCGTTTTTGAGAAAAATTGGATCGAAGACGTAATGCTATCGAATAGAAATCAACTGGTGCGTCTGGTCATGATGTACCAATTCTACTTCCCGTGATATTAAAAAGCGGACTTGACGCATCCTTCAACAATTTTCTCGAGAACGGAGTCTCAAATGAAAAAATGCTGTTCTTCTCTTTCGACTTATTTTTGCACGTAGGATTATTCCTTTGCCGGATGTACGATTTTCCGAACACCCTTTATAATTACTGTACAATTGTTGCATAATTTATAATATTTATGCTACATTCGAGTCTCTAAAACCAGTGTAAATAAATAAGCTCGAAAAGAGATCGAATTCTTAAAGAATCGGTAGATCATCAGTAAGATCACCCCTTCGCCGGATGTACAACGATTTTCCGAACACCCTATAATTACTGCTGTACCCCTATAAATACTACTATTTGCATAAATTCCAATATTTATGCTACATTCGAGTGTCTAAAACCGGTATAAATAAATAATCTCGAAAAGGGAACGAATTCTTAAAGAAGTCCGTCAGCGAGGGACCGTGAGAAACGAGAAACTCTGTGCACCTCCGTATCGGGGGAAAGTGATAAACGGGCGAATGCCAAGGGCCGTAGTCAGCGAACTAAGGAGAAACAAGATTCCTTCGTTAAAAGTCCACGCGGAATAGCCGGATTGGTCCTCGGCGCGTCTCGAGGACGGATCGGTGCGATTCCTCGCGCGCCGCTCTCTCTCTCTCCCTATTCGATCGGATTTTGATTTATTCGGGGATCGGGATAGAGATACACGGGCGCCCCGCGGGAGGTCGGCTGCGATTAACGTAGTAGGCCGAATTGATTCGGCGGTAACGAGGGAAGAATTCTCGGGTGGAAAGCACGATGCCTCGTACTCGATTCGGCGGAGGCTGCGTCGCGCCTCGTTTCGCCGAGTCTCGTGGGGCGCGCGATTTGAATAATCGCGATGGCTCTTGAATCGGAAAAAAGTGTCAATCTACACCCCCTGTGCAGCCCGGGAGAGACGGGGGGAGCCGGAACGAGGCGGAACGAAGCGGAACGGGGTTCGCTTCGCGAGCGAACGACGCGAACGAGCGAGCGAGCGGTCGAACGACCCGGCGCGGCGAGTGAACGGGAAGCGCGAGAAACAGGAGAAACACAAGGGCCCCGGTACCATTAACGACGCGGATGCCGTAGCGACCGGGTGGAACGACGACAACCCAGACCGGAGACCGACCAATTACCGTTAATCCTCGTTAATCCGCGTCTCTCCAATCTGCATTCCTTTGTTCTTCGTTCGGGCCGCTTCGCGGGCCGACTATCGCGACAGTTTACGACGGGAATATCTCGGAGTCTGAGCGGCTTGGTAAAAGGGGGAAGGGGGGAGGCGGCGGATACCGGCGAATCAGAGGAACACGGCTATACCGTCGAGCCTGCGGAGGCTGTGTAGCCGATGGAACCGTGGAGCAGTGAAACCGAGCGAGCCCCGACGCCGAGGGTGGAGACGAGAGAACGAGCCGGAAACGACGGGATTCCTATCTCGGCGAATTTTCGCGACTATTTCGCCGATCCCGCCGAAGGGAGCGAACGAGGGGGGGGGGGGCGAGGGCGAGCAGCCGGTGGTTCGAGGAAGCATCGAGTAACGAGCGCGCGCGACGTCGAAGACGGTTTTTACGTTCGACGATCGCGCGAGAAAAAATCGTGCCGGTGAACCGTGAAAATAATGACAGTCGCGATCACGCCGGCATTGTGTACCGGCCGTATTATCCTGCAAGAGAGAGAGACGAGCCGGAATTTTCGACAGGGTATCGGCGAAACGAACAAACGGTCCCCCGCATTGGCGTCGCCGGAGCACCGCGCGGTGTGCATGGGGCGCCGCTGCCGTGCCACGGTTCCGATCGATCCTCGGTCTATGTCCGCTCCGGTACAGCCGCCGAAGGGACCGATTAAAACGCGCTCGGGGGCGAGAGACCGGAGAGAGAGGACACTCGCGACGATCCCCGGCGATCGATGGTTGCCGCTCTCTGAATGCGCTGCGCGCCGAAGACGAGGGGAGAACCGGACAAAAGGGGCGCCGCGCGCGCTTAGAAATGTTTGTCTCCTCGCGGGGACCGCGCGCATTGTCCCGCGAGCCGATGCCGATGGATTCCGCGGCCGCTGTGTGCGCGCCTTCCACCGCGCCGGACAACAACTCTCCGAGTATCGAAAGTAGCCCGTCATAGTTGCGCTGCCGAAGCATCGAGCGATCGTGGGCGGATGCGACGAGGCAGACTGAGAGGAGCCGGAGAGACCGAGAGAGAGAGAGAGAGAGAGAGAGAGAGAGATGCGGCGATCGATCGCACCACGAGAAATAGCGGGAGATCGAGAAAGAAGGATCGCCGGGTGGTCGATCCGAAAGGGGAGAACCGCACGAGGGCCGTCGCTACCGGTCGCGCGCTCCGTTCACATTGTTACCATAATCGGCCTCGGTTGGGCCCATTGTTTGTCATTCAATTTTCCCGCTGGATATTCACCGCGGACAATGCCAGCGGCGCAGTATAAGTCGCGGGAATTACACGGGCGAACAAAGCTCGTAAATATATCTGTTGAATCGTGAAAAACGCGGCGCGCAGCGTCGCACAGCGCGCGCCGCGCGCGTTGCCTCCCTCGGCTCTCTGCAACTGTCCACCTACGCGCCTATGCGCTTCTATGCACCTCCGCGCGGAAAAGTCTCTCGAAGCTCGCGCGGCAGGCGGCCTCTCTTTCCCTCGTCGATCATTGTTTCGCCCCCGATCTGGGGCGTTCGTGCGATCTCGCGAGCGCGCGCGCGCGCGCGTCCCGCGTCCCGCCGCGAATCGGCGCTCGCGAGAGCCGAAGAGCCCGTCGGCCTCGTAAATCAGCGGAATTCCGCGGAAGGCCGTTCCCGGACAATTTTATGATTTAATCCGGTGGATGCGCGAAGGTTGTGGTCCGCGGTAGCTTCGGGAGGGAGCACTCGCGATATACCCGACTGCACTCGCCGAGATGAATTTCGCGCGGCGCCAAATGGTGACCGCGTGTAAAAATGGTTTTGCGGCGCGGTGGCCCGACCCGGCTTGGCCCGGCTTGGCCCGACGCGACGGGGATGCTGTGCTATGCTATGCTATGCTATGCGACGCGACGCGATGCGACGCGACGCAGCCGTCCGACGCTCGACCAGCGTGAAATTTCAGGACGCTGACCGACGCGCGTCGCAATTTCTCCGAATTTTCGATCGGCTCGAGAGCGTTATTCGGTTAAACCGATAACGAAACGAGCCCTCGATTACGAGATTGACAGCGCGGCGTCCGTCCAATCGATTCCGAGGGGTGCCGGGCCCTCGTAATTCCGGCGAGTGACGCGGCTCCAATCGCGGTCCTCGATTCCACCTTTTTTTCCATTCATTGCCTGCGATCTGCGCGCTCAAACCGCGCTCCAAGAACCGCCGAAATGTCTCAGATACGACGTCCGAATGCCCCTAAGTAGGCGAGGCCCGTTTCGAATGGGCGTGGCTTAATGGCCCGCCTCGGTCAAGCAGCGAAATTACGGCTCCGCGCGGCCAGCGGCGAATTCGGAGGGGCGCGCGTAATCGAGTAACTCTGTTCGCTTTTGAAATGGCCTACATTGGCGTCGGGAGCAAATGAAGTTATAGTCTGGATCAAGGCCGGCGGAAAGTAATCTGCGTGCACGTCAACGCGTGTCATTGTCTGGCCCCAATTTCGCCGGAGCCGGTTTAGCGATTTCGTAGAATTTAGGACAGCAGCTGCTCGCGGACGGATCGAGGAACTTCGAAATAGAACGGAACTTCTCCTATTTTCGTTGGACTCCGCGGGATTGTTTTCGCGGCTCGGGGGACCACCGTTCGCCGTTCGAGTGCTGTTAACCTTGATGACAGATTAAGAATGGCCGGGAAAGGGCATCGTGGGCGGCGCGTGCCGGAGCCGGGTTTTAGAGAGCACGGCGTAGACCGTGGATCACGGAACGGAGATCGGTTCGCGTGACCGCCTAGACTCAGCCGAACTAAAGGTTTCTCGCATTTGTAAATCGCAAATCAAATTAAACTCTCAACCGGCACGCCATTCGGGATCTGCGGGTCGCCGCCGCGGCGGTATAAAAGGACAGGCCCGGGCTCGACCGAGTCAAGTGAGTTGCGGAACGCATACACGGCCTTCTGTACCGCGTCTCACTTCAAGCCGTGTGTTGCGCCGGCACCTTTGATCCTTTTGGTCGTGAGAGCTGCTCGCAACCGTTCCTCTTTTTTTTTCTCTACCTCTCTGTCGCTCCGCTCTGCTCCCGACACCCCGATCCCGCACCCATCGCCCCGCGTTCTTTTTGGTTCCCGTTGTGCGCGTGCCGCCGTTTCGCTGTCCGCCGCGGACAAGTTCGAATCGTCGCGACCACCGATCGCAAAGGACTCCCGTGTAACGAGCGTGTACAGGACACCGGCGAGTGTCTTCGAGTCGTCTAGGGATGCTGATGCGCAACGATACCATACTCAACGGGCCGCTGGCCTTCATCGGCGAGGACAGCGGGTGCGTCGGCCTTCGTTCGTGAACGGGTGAAACCGTTGTTCCGTTCCGCGAACGGGGGGACTGATGGTGTGCTTTTATCGGCCGTCAGGTATGTCCCGTCGATGCGAGAGAGATTCCTGGGATGGAACGTGCCCCCGGAGCATTCCGAGCTCGTCCACCCGCACTGGAGGGGGTTCATGGCGCCCGGCAAGTTCTGGCACATGGGCCTCGCGCTTATCTACACCATAATGTTTATGATGTCCCTGGTAGGCAACGGATGCGTCATATGGATATTTAGCACGTAAGTGTACGGCCGGGGAGCAGGGAGCTGCTGCCGGCGACGATAACCGATCCTGGTTCAGCGATCTTTCTCCGAGCCCTCGCCGGATTGTCAACGAGTATACTTTGTACTCGACCGATAAGCCGCCGAGGGTTCGCCATGAAATTATTGCTAAATCGAGGAGAAGGATCTTTGCCACGGATCTTTTCCCGTGGAACCGGATATCGCGAAGCCGGTGGCGGTGGTGCCATCCCTCGAGCAACAACGGAATCCTCCCTCGAGAATCGATACCAACCCCCCGGACAACCCCTAGACCCGATTCGGGCTTTTGCTTTCAGGTCGAAATGCCTGCGAACGGCGTCGAACATGTTCGTAGTCAGCCTGGCGATGTTCGACCTGTTGATGTGCGCCGAGATGCCCATGTTTCTGATCAACTGCTTCCTCGAGCGGATGATCGGATGGCAACTGGGCTGCGACATCTACGCGACCCTGGGCTCCGTTTCCGGAATGGGCCAGGCGATTACCAACGCTGCCATCGCCTTCGATCGATACAGGTCGCTGTCGACGACGACGACGAATCTCTGCAAATTTAACCATGACGATTCGCGCTCTGGATTTTTCGATCTTTCCGAGAGCCGAGAAATTGTTCTATAATTCTGTTTTGACCGAGCTTATTTTGCGTAGGACCATCTCCTGCCCGATCGACGGCCGTCTAAACACGAAGCAGGCGGCGGTTCTGGTCGCCTGCACGTGGTTCTGGGCTTCGCCGTTCAGCGTGATGCCGCTGGTGAAGGTCTGGGGTCGATACACCACCGGTAACGAAGCTCTTCTTCTCGCCGAAAAGCCCGATGGCTGGCTCGCCGCAAGCTCCGGCGGCAATGTAGGCCCCGGCGACCCAGCCATCGGCCCTATGGTCAATTCCGCAAGAGTCGCGAGCCGGGTCCATTGAAACCTAAGCTTCGGTGTTAACGCGACTTTTGGTCTTTGGCGATATTCGGTAATTTGCTGGGGAGACAAATGGCCCTAATCTCGGCGGCTCGTAACTTTGAAATGCCGGCGCGGCTGCCCGCGCGAACCCGCCGCATTGTATTCGCCCTGAACGCGTTAATCGCTCGCTGAATTCGGCGGAATTATGAAATCGAAGGCGATTCGTCGCGACGTAAGCTACCGTAGAATAGGTTTCCGTGGGTCGGACATCGTATACGGTAATGCCTCCGTAATTGACGCTCAGATCGCGCTGAAAAATGGACAGTTTGGGAAGTGGAGATACGGTTATTCGAATCTTGCACCTCGTTTCTATAGTTCCTGACAATCGGTAACTATAAAAACGTGCCGCCTGCAACTTTTGTCATAGTTTCAAATTTTCGAAAAAATTGTTGATATTCAGACAGCTACAACTTCGTGCAAAAAAATCATACAACAATAGCACTTGGCTCATTTTGAAGCCGGAAGTGTCTACTTTTGGAAGGTGTCTGTTGTTATCTTTAAAAAAATTTATTCGCGACGCAGTGAATCGATAATGTGATATAAAACAAGAAATTGTTTTATAAACTTATTCATTAATGTGTATATTATGATAGAAATCGTATAGGGTTCGAGTAAATTCAACCTTCTTGTTCTTATAAAACGATATACAGTAATATGTCTCTAATTGACGTTCAGATTTTCCACAGAAATGGACAATTTCGGAAGAGGAGACACGATTGTTCGAGCCTTGCGGCTCGTTTTTATAATTGTTGCAAATTCGTAATTATAAAAGCAAACCACAAGGCTCGAACAATCGTATCTCCTCTTCCCAAATTGTCCAGTTTTATAGACCAAGAGCGTCAGTTAGGGAGACATTACTGTACACCGTAGGATCATCGCTGCTATCGCAGAAGTCAGAAACGTTAACACTAAACCTACCAAGCAGTAATACTAATTGGCATATACTGCTTCGCAAAAGTGAGAAGACCGAATTCATTTGGAATTTGCAAAATTCTTATTACAAAACTTGCTCTCAATAATAGAACTTATTCAAGCGTTTTCCACGAAAGATTCTCGGAACTTTGCAGAATTGCAAAATAAGAAAGCGCTTAATCTATCATACATAATAATTATATTACATAATAATTAATAATAAGCGCTTCATCTATCCCGACCTTTTCCAGAGGGATTCCTGACCACCTGCTCGTTCGACTTCCTCACGGAGGACCAGGACACCAAAGTCTTCGTCTCGAGCATCTTCGTCTGGTCGTACGTGATACCTCTGATATTCATCATCTACTTCTACTCCCAGCTGTTCCAGTCCATCCGCAATCACGAGAAGATGTTGAAAGAACAGGTCAACTATCCCCGAAATCACCTTCCGAAGTCCCATCGATCTAATGGCTACCGTTCGACCAACAGGCTAAGAAGATGAACGTGAAGTCGCTGGTGTCGAACCAGGACAAAGAGAGGAGCGTCGAGATGAGGATCGCCAAGGTCGCGTTCACCATCTTCTTCCTGTTCCTGGTCGCGTGGACGCCTTATGCCGCCGTTGCTATGATCGGAGCGTTCGGCAACCGGTAGTTGAACCTTGACACTGACCGCGGACATAATCTTGATCTAACCTCGACATCGACGAGAATCTAAACCGCGCGCCGTTCTTTCTTCCAGGGAATTGTTGTCGCCGATTTCCACGATGCTGCCGGCCGTCTTCGCCAAAACTGTTTCCTGCATCGACCCCTGGATCTACGCAATCAATCATCCAAGGTAAGTCCAAGCCTTTTTAGATTGTAGGGTTCGAAGGTCGCTTTCGCGCGCTGTCGGCTGCGAGCGTCGAGGATTCGCCAGGCCGAATAACTGGCGCGAGTAAACGGGAAATAAACTCGGACAACACAAGCGAATCGCCGGGCAACGGAATCGTCGACGATCAGGGAATGAATTGTGCGCGCAGGTATCGTCAAGAGCTGCAGAAGCGCTGCAAATGGATGGGCATCCACGAGCCGGAGCCCGCTCCTGACGCCGTCTCCGCTCAGACCGAGAAGGTCAAGGCGGACGAAGCGTAAATCGGCCGTGGGATCCTGTGGATCCGATCGAGTGGACCGCGGCGACGCGGGACTCTCCTCGGGGCGTCCGCTCGGGCCGCAACGGGCCCACCACCGCCGTTGCGGGCCCGGCCCATGCCCTCCGATTTCTACCGTCGGTCCAAACACCGACCGGCTATGCAACCGGACCACCGTGAACAGCGCTTCCACCGACGTGCACGCCGACGCAATCGATTGTACTCATATTAACGCGTTATTAAAGCAAATTCAACAACGGAGTTCACCTTTCTCGCCTCGGCTGACCTCCCCCCGATGTTCTGCTACCTTACCTGAAACGCGTCTTGTTGTCTGAAATTAAATTTTCTCGCTCCCGTCTCCCACGCCTCCACCCGCTCCGGCCTCCTTCTATTCGGCGTTCCCCTCGGCCCCCTCGTTTCGCGTGTAAAGAAGTAACGCGGGGCGTTTCTCTTTCGCTCCGACGTCGGACGCTTGTTATGAAAAATTGACAAGATCTCGTTACGCCCTCGTTATTCCGGCCCCTTTTAACGCACCTGGAATTTTCCTTGCCGAGATCCGGCCGAAAGGTGATACTTTGCTCGAGCGGAGCACGCCGTAGAGCATCCCTCCGTTCTTCTTCGTCTTCTTCGTCGTCGTCGTCGTCGTCATCTTTTTCGTCTTCTTCTTTTTTTTCTCCTTCTTCTTCTTCTTCTTCTCCTCATGCATGAATCTCGAAGCACGTACAGTGAGACGAGCCCGCGACGCTCCGTTTACCACGGGCTCCCGACGAAAATGGAACAACTTTGTGGCGACGAGCGATATATACCCGCGTCTACACGTACTCGATTTGTTTCCGCGTCGGTAACGGAATCGGCACGCCGACGGAATCGACGACGCCGCGCTGCTGCGCGCTCTGAACCGCCTGCGCCCGGCGGACGCGTTCGCAGTTCGCCGATTTCGCTGATTAGAATTTCGGTCTCTGGCTGCGCCGGGGACTCCGGCAATCGCCCGTTTTTAGTGCTTTCGATCTTCTTTTCACGAGCTCGGCCCCGTGTCGCGCGGCGGACGAGCAGGCAGCATGCCAGTGAGAGCTCGTCGGTAATCTCGAGAAACGAAGGCCCCCGGTGATTGATCCGTCGACTCGCGAGCGTTTCGTTTTAAATGTTACCCCGATGATTAAGTTCCGACGCCGCCGAATAAATGGCTCCACGACGGTGAACGCGGTGCCAACGATAACGGCGAAAACGTTCGAGCCGAAAGAGTTAACGCGGTGTGCACCGTTGCGAAGATGACAGAATAATTGATACGAAATGTTGGAGAAATAAGAGGAGCACGCTGTATCGAACGATGGAGGAGGAGCGTGTTCGGAGTGCACCGTTCGAGAGATGAAACGAGAACGTGCATGGTGCGCACCGTTCGAGAGATGAAAGGAGAATGATTCTGAAATGGTAGAATACGTAAAAACTGCTGCGTAAGCTGCGGGACAGCGGGTGCAGAGTTCGGTATTATCAGGATTGTTTCGAATAAATGAGTGCCTTTTAGTCGAATATCTTGTTCGAGTCGTTCTTTGTTCGAACGATTCGAAAAAGTAGCACGGACAAAATAATTTGCATCGGTTTCATTCGAATCAATTCTTTCCCGCGCGAATTCCTGCATAAATATATTCCAATAAAATTCTGTTCGGATAAGATTGCATTCGATCGAATATATCGGTTGTCCCAAAATTATGCTACTTCTGGGGAGTGAGTAATAGTTTACTATTACATCGATCACTTAAGCGCTTGGCTCTAACTCTGACGTTTAATCCGATAGCATTAAACTGAAAAGATTTGGTTCCATCGGCGCAATATACAGCGTATCTCATAATTATGTTACCATCCGGAAAGGGGAGATTCCTGAGGTCATTTGAAGAAACTTTTTCCTCAGCGAAAATGCAATCCGCGGCTTCGTTCACGAGTTATTAACGAAAAACAGTGACCAATCAGAGGCGCGAGTCGACCGGCGCGAGGCTCAACTGCGTTCATTGGCGCTCATTGGCTCCGCCCTCTCGCCTCGCCCGCCTCTCATTGGTCACTGTTTTCCGTCGATAACTCGCGAACGAAGCCGCGGATTGCATTTTCGCTAAGGAAAAAGTTGCTTCAAATAATCTCAGGAACCCTTCACTTCCCAAAAATACCATAATTTTGGGACACTATATTCGATCGAATGCAAATTTATCCGAATAGAATTTCGTTCGAATAAGAATTCATTAGTGTAGAAATCCGTACGGAAAACAATTGATTCGAATAAAAATGATAAGATATAAATTATTTTGTCGCCGTTTGGAACGCATTTGGGACACCCTTTATTCGTGTCGAATAAAATTACATTCGAATAAATACCGTTACGACGACTTGTCCAAATCAAGTCGCTGTAATGTGAAACTGTCCTGTTGTGAACAACTCCTTAGGAAATAATGGAAGATAGACAATTGCCACGAAATAGTGATACCAACGAACAATCGAGAGTCGAGATCGGGCCGTCGCACGATCAACATTACAAATTCAAAGATCTGTAACACAATCGAATTGTGTTGCATCATATTCTCTAATAAATTAATTCTAAACAAAATGCCGCGACGCGAGAAAAACAGAAAGGTTCGCAACAATACGAATAAAATCGCATTCGTTAAGCCTACATCTCCTATCCGTCTCCCAACGAAATCACGATGAAATTCTGCCGGTAGAATGCGTGGGAACCGATCGTTCCGACTGACGTCCAGATTCAGCACCCATGTCGCAAAGGGTCGGCGCGCCGTTGAACCATCGTGATGAATCATCGGGGGACGAAGTCGCGACGATGTTGCCGCGGAAGATCGCGGGGAGATCGCCGTCGGGTCGGTATCGAGAGAGAGTTACGAGGGCAAATAAAATGGTAGCGTTAGTATCGAACGGCGGTTGGCCGGCCGGTGGTGTCGGGATCGGTGTCCCGGACCGGATAGGGGTTTTCATCGCGGCAGGATTCCGATTCATCGTGGAAGACAAGGCGATTACGGCGGTAGCGGGACGCGTCGCGACGCGGAGCGGAGTCCGCGCCGCGTTTCCACGCCGGCGAAAGTTTAGTCCGTGATCCTCCGACGCCGAAGGATCGTGTACCTGCATGTAGGTAGTGTACTCGCGTGGCGGGCCCGGACAGGAGGCGGAGTCAACGGATAGCCCGGCAGTTCAGTTAATATGCAGTTAGTACGTCATTTGTTTCTCGCCGCTGGGAGGGCTTATCGTAATCTCTGGCGTCACGGCTCCCCACGATCTCTCGCGTTAGCCAAGCTCGTTCGGCGTTAGCCAAGCTCGGCTCTCGTCCCGGCCGCTTCCTCGCGAGAGCCGACACCGAACACCGGTTGTCGGCGATCCATCCGCCATCGATTCGTCCGGATAGCCTGAACTTTTCCCCGTGGCGTAAAACTCTACGCGCGTCCGGCTCGCATCCGGATCGCGGCGTGATCTCCTCCGATAAGAAATTCATTGCGTCGCGGCGGTGCTCGGCCATACTAATGAGTCGCCGGTGTACACGCTCGCCGCAACGCGGCCGCACGCTCGCCGAGATGAATAAATTGATAGCCGGCTTCCCGGCGAACCTCTCCGAAAACGGGATTCAACGGAGAACGCGCTCGCAGCGAGCCGCGTCCCGGAAACCCGCTCCCCCCGACGATTGATTCCGTTTTGCTCTCGACGACGCGCCCGAACTTCGCGACGCGCGGGGCTCGCATGCCTCCTCGTCATCCGTCTGTTCCTATCTAGTCGACGCATCTGCGAGCATTAGAAGCGATTTACCTGTCTGTATTATTTGCACGGGGCGCCGGATCGCTAATGACCCGTACAGTTCCAGAAATTCCAGTTTCCCCGCGACCGACGCCGCTCGCAGCCGCTAATGACGCGTCGCGACGCGTTATGCCGTGCCGATAGGCTAACACGGTGGCTAAAAGCTCGCCTGCCAAGCGAGTCGCGGCGAGCTGTAGACGCCCAGCATCCGGCCGTTTGACCGTGTTCGAAGGGACGATGACCGAGATATCGCAGAAGAACGAGAGCTCGCGAGGAAGGAGGAGACGAGCGAGGGGCCGCGGGTACACAGTTCGACGGGGCGAGGATTCTGGGCTCGAAGAAATCCTTGATTAGATGTTCCCCGTCAAAGGCGGCTCCCTTCCGCTTTGCTCGGGGCTCGAAGAAAGAAAACGCGCGGCGGCTGGAAACGGGGGGAAGGGGCGCGCGGGAGGAGAGTCAGCGGAGAAGGACCCGGCGGGAGAATGTGAACGGGGAAGAAAAGAATCGGTTTGGAGAGCGAATTAAAAATTGTTCCAGTCCGCGAACACCGGGGTGGGGAATCGAGGGGTGACGTCGGGTAGAGAGAAGGGAGACCGAACGAGGCAGCGTTTTAATCGAAGCGAGCTCGGCAGGGATTTCGCCTTTTCGAGGGATAGAAAGGAGAGCGATCCCGCTCGGTTTAAGATACATCCCATCCTATTTCCCGAGGTCGCGTCGACGGGTACGACAGGGACGACGCCGGGCGTCGACGGTACGAGGACGACGACGACGGTGCGACGACCAGTTATGGATGTTGAAAATTCAATTACGCGGGATTTATGACTGCCGGCGCGGGGCATATTTATTATCGCGGCATCTTCCTCCCGGCTGAACACGGCGTGTTCTCTGTTTCCGGGGACGGCGGGGTAAGCTCGCCGAGCTTACGTTGCGTGCGCAATTCGATCGCGGTTCGATCGGCGTTCGATCCGCGGCGAAGCCCCCGGAGGGCGACGCCATGTTGCCGACAACGGGGCAGCAGCTTCTTTCGCGGCGCGCCGGAAAGCGTTCCTCGGCCGCGCGCGGCGCGCGGCGGACGCCGTGGCCGCGACGGCTTCGAACATCAGGATTTATCGGTATTACACGCGCGCGCCGTTAACCGGGGACGCTCGAATGTTTTACAGCGGCTCCGGGTGCTCCGCCTATTCGCGGCATCCCTTTTTAAAGCTGTCTTAATCCCCGTTAAGCGCGGGGTAATAAACTCCGCGGCGCTCATTAAGACCGGCCGCGGGCTTTACGCTCTTTTTGTTCGCCGGCGGCCGGGAGATGTATATTAACGCGGGCAATAAATATCGTCCTTATCGACGGCGTTTCGCCACCTTGTTATCGCGTATTGATTTTCCCCTAAGCGAGAAAGACGGGACGGAAAGCGCGCGGACGGACCCTCGATGCACCGACGCCGGAAAAATCGAGTCTCTCGGTTCCGCGTAGCGTCGCCGCGACCTTGC